AACAAGAGACTATCTTTAAGCTGCATCAAGTTCTTGGAAATAGGAGCGTACAGATTGGTTTTGCCATTTTCTTTTTCTAGTAATTAGATTTGCATCCAACATGAAATATTGAATCATTTTCTTAATCGTAATTGTGATTGAAGACTACAATTTTGGCAAAGTTTTACTGCTATTATTATATTTGATCTTAATTAAATTTACATATGATAAGGCATGATCCAACTTCAGCTAGCATGCTTAAGCACAAAATTTAATGTAAGTTTCTTTGATCTACAGATGGTCAGCCATTGCAGCAAGATTACCAGGGCGAACAGATAATGAGATCAAGAACTACTGGCATGGTCATTTGAAGAAGAAACTTAAACAAACAGCAGCCGGATCGACGGACCGCAAAGCAATCAAGGAAGCAAGAATAGCGTTACACCATCAGAGAGATCAAAGTCCTGGCCTGATGAAGCCATCGATTTCCTCGCAACACTCTCCGGAACCAACTAGTTCAACATCAACAACTAAGCTGGAGACTGAAGAATTGGCCTTGACAAGGGAGCAACAAGGAGCTGTGGAGGAGTCCGCAGGAGTTCAGTTTCCACACTCTCATCTTTCAACGGTGGAAACCATGAAGAACAATGGCCCCAATGCTGATGGTAACAGGGATTTTTGGTACAACCTTTTCATGGAAAACTCGAATGAAGCCCATGGGAAAAATAGGATAAGTTTGGGTAGTTTTGCAAATTACCCATGTTTTTTTTAAACGTCATTTTTCTCCTTTTTGCATGTTTGTTTGTGTTTATACAGACATACAAGTAAAATTTTGCCAATACACAGTTCAGCAACTCCATAATTCTCCTTTTATCGCATGTTCTAAGAAATAATTCAAATCATCAAAATTTATTTTTGATCAAATTACACATCTAGTCCATATACCCTATTAAAGTGATGAATTTACTTTTTATATAATAATTTGTAAAAATTAAGTCATTATACTTCTCAAATTAATAATATTAATTCAATCATTATCAGTGTTAAAATGTTTCCGTTATATATACTAATATGGCAATCGAGTGTACTAATGTGGCATGTTTGTGATGATCTAACATTAAATATAATAACGTGTTATCCGACAATGATGTTATGATTTTGCCAACATAACATTGATTAAATACAAATACGAATTTTAAGTGATAATATGATGCTAATGTGGCATTATGATGTTACTAATGTGGTATTTTTGCATTTTGCATATAATGAATAGGTTGGTTTTTAAATTTTTTATAATGATTAAAAGTTCAAAGATGGGAAACTTTACTCCCTTTTATATAAATAGAGTAGAGCAATTATTATCCAATTATGTAGAAAATTGTGAAATTAATATTACATCATTACAATCAAGTGCTATGCATGTCAATATAAATAACGAAAATATTTTAACATCGTTAGTGATTGGTTTGACATTGTTAATTTTAAAAAATAAAGAGATTTAATTTGATAGATTATTATATAAAATTTATATACATCACTTTAACAGGATCAATTTTTACCATAACAAGTCTTCTATAATTTCATTATAAAATTAACGTGAAATATATGTTGTATTTGATTTTAGCTTACGGGTTTCAGGCTAGGAGGTTTGAAAAATATTATACTATAATCAAAACAACAAAAATTAAATTATGACCAAAAGAAGAAATGATTCATGAATTGTGAAGAAGGTACTCAAAAGCTTCAACATGCTTAGGTGGCAACATCTTATTGCTTACGATAAAAAATACCAAGCGTTCACGGTGGGACTCGAACCCACAATCTCCCGCTCCGGAGGCGAGCGCCTTATCCATTAGGCCACGCGAACAAGCTGGCCATGGACATCCCATCATTCATTCATAGATCTGGATTACTAAATTTAGGATTAGGCTCACAATCGTCTGTTATTGCTAAAATGTAATAGAAAAAATTAAAATTTTTATTTTAATTGAATGTAACCAGAAATTGATTAGTTATATTTGTTAATTATCCAAAACAATTTCTTTGGGTGGTGCTTGATTAAAAACCCGAGTTCAACCTAACCCAACTAAACAATTCAATTTGATAAAGTAGAATATAATATTATATAAATGCATTTAAAAAATAAGTAAATTCATTAATTTTATAAAATAAACCCAACATTCATAACTTACTTTTTTATTTTTAAGAAAAAAATACTTTATTTATCTAATCATAGGAGGAAAACAAATGTCCCACATATCATTAGTAAGTAAGGTACCAGCCTCTCTCTTGGTTGGCAATCATAAAACTGAACACTACACCTTATCTCAAAACCTCTATTTGTCATGAAGTCAGCAATTCTATTGCCTTCTCGATTGATTTACTTTGACTTCCCATTGTCGATATAGGATTTCCCTAATTGCTCGAATATGGTTTAAGTGAGCACAAGGATGTGTAAATGAAAAAGTGATTGCTCAACTTGTAATACAATCTTACGAAATCCTCTCCCCCAAGCGTGAGAAAGAGCACGATACACTCCATAATTCTGCTCAGTATGCATTGCACTTTCCCAAGTCGTAGCAGCAGCATTTTGGATAGAGTCTCGGTAGGCACCGTCTATATTAACTGCAATCCAATCCAATGGTGGTGGTGACCACCCCACTAGGATCTCTTGTTTTTTAAGTAGATTCTCACCTAGCACATTCGGTATATTCATGGCAAGATTTATTGCAGTAACCATACTTTTTACCATGTTGATACGACTTTCAATAGGAATTAAGCGGCTCCCAAATACTTCTAAATTCCTCTACTTCTATTAATACCAATAGCTTACTCCAAATACAGCTTTTCAAAGAGCACCACAAACATACATCTTATAATTCCTGAGATTAAAGGAAAACCACTCACCCATAGTTGCAAAAAAGAAGTTATCAACTTCATTTTGAGGTAATAACAGAAGAGAAAGGGAACTTGCAGTTGGGCAATCCCAACGCAAATGAAGAATTGTTTCCTCCTCCAATCTGCATCAAGAACAAGTTGCAACAATCAACATTCTTCGACGTTGATTTGTGAGAATTTTATTATGAAGACATTGAAATCAAAACACACATATACGTTGAGGGCCTGGCCAACTCCAAGCTAAAATTCCACTCACCTTCCTCTGCTACACTGCTCAGACAAGAAACCTCCCATAGTTGATCATATGCAGAGCTCATTGTAAAATAACCAGATGAGGAGTGTGCCCCATACGACACTTCTGGACAATAAGAATTCGAAGGTGGAACAAGAATGAAAATTTATTAATTAATCAATATATTATTTAATCGATAAATTAATAATTTATTAATTTATACATTAATTAATAAAAATAAATTTATCAAGGTATTTTTTTATTTTTTTAAATAAATTAATCAATATATGTAGTATGTATTGTGATTATTGAAGCTTGTCTCGCGTAAAGATGCATTTAGAGTAATAATTACATTGCATGATTTTTTATACAATACAAAAAAACTATATTAGAGTTTCTTAATGCATTAAGAAAAGTTAGAGATGAGATGCAATAAGACATCAATTTAAAAAAAAAACAAGTAGTATTGAAGTCATTTTACAAAGACCTCAAAATTGAATTATGTGTATATATATATATATATATATATAATTTTTTATGTATAAAAAGATTATTAATTTATATATTAAATGGGACTTATATATATATTTTTAAATGTATTATCTTGTAAATTTAACAAATTATTAATTTACCACATTGATCTTAAGTACGGATCAGTCAAAAATATTATTTAATTAAAATTATTAATTTATTAAATATTAATTTATAAAAATTTTACTATATGACTTTTAAGTCAAAATTTACTAAAAACTTTATTGAATATTAATTTTACTATCCAAAATCTATCTATATTGTTTTATAACTATCCACAACCACATAAATCAAGTTTAATATGATCGAGTACCCGATTAAAATCTATCCATTGCCATCCTTATCTGCATTTGGATTTACAATATTACAAGAGAAAATTGTGAGAAATGACTATCTTGATAACTTAATTTAAAAAATAGCACGTAAAAAAAATTAAGTATTTTTAACTATATTTAGCTTTAACTTGATAAAAATATCTTTGGAACTATTTCAAATAAATTAAATCATTTATCATAATTTTTTCATATCCATATGTACTTCCGATTTCTCTTTCTTACTATCCAGCTCTTTTTAATTTTATTAATATTTTTTTTTGACATTCATCTATTGTGCTTCTAATTTTTCTCTTTGGCAATTTTAGAATGTCAAGAGATGGTTTTAATATACTTGGGGTAAGTGGTCATTTGGAGAATTTGATTTTTAAGTATTTTGGATGAAATTAAAATAGTACAAATTATTACAGATGTTTGAAATAGCTTTTAATTGGATTTATTTATGGCATAAACATTAATAAACTCAAGAATTTGAAATTTATAAACTTAGAATTTCAAAGAAATTTTTTTTCAATTTTTAGCCGAAATAGATGTTTTACATTAAGAAAATTACGTTTTGATTTATAAAAACATATTAGAAACACTTTATTTATTGCCAAGTTATAAAAAAATAAATAAAATAAATAAAATTGAGAAGATTTAAAATTTTGATTCGTAAATAATAATAACATTTTAAGCATTAAAATGTAATAAATTTTTTTAAATATGGTGTGTAATAATATTTTTTTTCAATATAACTTGTAACATATTTTTATATATGACGTATAATAATAATATTTTTTTAATTATAACGTGTAAAATATTTTTATATAAATTTAATAATATTTTTTTAATATAATATATAATATCATGTGCACGTCATGTTATAAGCCGTGCACTTAAATATAAAAATATTTTATTAAAAATAATTTAATTTAATTACAAAATAATTAAAATTATAAAAAAATTATTTTTTAAAATACCTTAGGTTATTTTTTAATACTCCGTTATTATTAGGACAGAAAAGATAATAGCTGACATGGCTCTATTCCGGACCAGGCTGTGATTGGAAAAGCACGAGACAGGAAAGGAAGCTTTGAAACTGTAGTCCGTAACACAAAAAACCCTACAAAACCCTCTGCAAAAGTTTGAATAAACAAAAGTAAAAATTCGTTCGTTTGAACTGAAAATCGAATCCAATGGCATTGTCAATGTCCAATGTTTTTCACTGCCGAAAACCCAAAGTTTCACCAAAAAATTGTATCCCAAACTCTTCAATCTCCAAGTCCTCATCTTCCTTTCTCAGGTAAGAGTAATGATTCTGTTTGTTCATTGTCTTCACTCTCTTTTACTTTTGTCCAATTATTGGTGGTGGGTTTTGAGAAAACAGAGAAAAAGGGGAGGAAAAGAAAGGAAAAAAGAAGAAGAAAGCTTTGATTTTAGTGTTGTGAAATAGATAGTGTTCTGTTGGTATTGGGTAGTGAGTTGAATTTAGCTGAATTTAGCCAAAATGATAGTGTTACTCTTCATTTGAAGCTTTTGAAATTTTTATGAAGCTAAAAAGGTCTAAGAGATATTGAATTTTTCAAATTGTAATTCACTTGTTTTAATTATTTGTTTACTTGGCTTTGATGGAAACCGAATATCATTTGAAAGAAAAACAAATTAACTTTTTTTTCCCCTTGTTGCCACTGAAACTCCATAAAGCAATGGTTTTCTTTCTTTTCTTTTCTTTTTCTTTTTTCATTGGAGTTGTATTTTGGTTAGCTGGCTTATGGATTTTAGAATTATAAACTATAAGCATGTAGAGCATTAGGTAAGAACTTTATTACCAACATGTGATAATTAGACTTTAAGCTTATTTTGTTCTTCAATGCTGTGAATGTTTAACATTAGCGCCAAGCCCTTGAATTGATCAGGTTTCCCGGGAGATTTGCTTTTCCAAAGACTAAGATTGTGATTTGTGCTGCTTCATCTGCAGCTGGGAGTTCTAGTCCAGACGGTGACTTAAACCCGTATGAGGTGTGTCAAACTCTTGCCAGTTTGATCATTTGCAGATCTGAAATTCAAGTTATTAGTGACTGGATTGTTGGGTGTTTCAAATGCTTGTATGTTTCAGGTTCTCGGCGTGAGCCCTATTGAGGGGTTTGAAAAGGTCAAGCAAGTATATACAAGAAAACGTAAGGAGGCTGACAAGCGAGGTGATGAGGCTACTGCTGCTCTAGTAGGTTACAACTCCCTTAAAATCAAAATATTGCTAGGAAAGAATGCGCACATCCTAGCATATTAAATTTCCAAAAAAAGAATATAGATATGGAAATTTTGCTTACTTTTTTTGCCCTTTTCTGTTTTCGAATGCATTATTTCCAGCTTGAGAAGGCATATGACAAACTCATGATGGCACAATTAATGAATCGGAAGAAAGGTGTGACTTACGGTTCTTTTAAGGTATCTATTTGTTGATGCTTAATATAATACCTTTGTCTGATTTTTGAAATCTACATCATGTATTCAGTCCTTCAATCATTTGTATCTTTGACGATTTTAGAATCAAATCGTTAGATACCACCTTTTCTAAAATGGTTCAGTAACTGTGTATATGTGGTTTTTTATGGGAGAGAAGATTTGCGTGACTGAACACTAAATCTGTTTCTTTCCCATGGTTTTAAAGGTTTTTGTTGTAGGACAAGTGGTGTTCCTAAGCTTTTGTGATACTATATATAGATGAAGTAAGATTAAAAAAATTTGATGAAAGATTGGAGGCTTTAGACATTAAGGGGCAGCGGCTTTTCTTTTGGGATGAGTGTATCGGGTTGATTTTTATGCAAACTATTCAATGTTCTATACCAGTAGGTTGTGTACATATCAGTGCTTTCTTTATGGGTTCATCCACATATATATTTATGCATCATCTGAATATTTATGCATAATCTGAGAGGGAGATTTTAAAATGCTTCAAGTAAATAAATGAAACGAGGAGTAGGCTTTCATGGCATGTATGTTTAATCTTTAATTACTAAGATCTTTTTTTGTATGACATTTGCAGTTAGTCAGAATATCAACTTGGTTTTATTCTGTTCATGTGTGTGAGAAATAACATCTGTATGTATTCCATTTTGTTCCATTTATTTTCTCTTAAGCTGATCTGTTTATCTATTGTTTTTATTTTTTAATTTCAGGTTTCAAAGGATGTCAAATATGCTGATAAGCAGCCAATTGTACCTTGGGGGCCAAGGTTTTTCGCTACCTACACATAGCATACTAAGTTATTTCTGATTTGCTGCCATAATGGTCTATTCATTTTTAGTCTTTACCACACATGGGTGCATTCATGACAGCTGATAATTTTGAAAGCAAGAGAGAGCTACTCTTGTGTTAGGGCATAAGAAAGGATAGCCATCCTGCACTAATCTACAAGTGGAAGATTTTGTTAGAAAATTTTGTGAAGTTTGGTCCATTACTTTGTTTTGATAAATTGTGGTGGCTGTTGAGAAAATTTTATTTTTTGCCGAGATCTTTCTCCCACACTTGTCATTATGACGCCTTTAGTGGTATTCTGTAATCTTAGTCATTGGAGATGCTCTTGACATGGAATTATGGTGTGCTTTCAGGTTCAGCAAGTCTAGTGTACAAGATACACGCATCAACTTGGCAATTTCTGCTGTATTTGTAAGTAGAATAGATTGATGGATCCTTGGCAGCCTTATTCCAGTTTTGTAGCGAATCCTTAGAGAACATTTTATATACTAAGGAAAGGAGACATATGAAATCTGTGTAGTAAACCATCAATTTTATATTTGTTATGCACTTGTAATTCAGGCACATGAACAATCAGATTTAGACATTGTAATAATTGTGACACTTTTACTCTCTCATTTTCTTTCTAACTCATGTTTCACTTATTTCCACGCAGACAGCTTGGATTGTAGTCAAGCGCAATGCGGAATATAAACCTTTGCAGTTTTTGGCTTTTGCATTTGTTTATCGACTTTTCGAAAAATTGAAGGCCTTTGAACCACCAGTATCACCAACATTTACAGTAAGCCATATTTAAAGAGCTTAACTGCCTCTTCTTTTTTGTAAATTGTGGTACCCTATAACGAGTACCGTCTACCTAGCAGCAGTGTCATTTCTTCACTTTGTTGATTATTGACGTTGATGTTAACTGCAGGAAGAAGGCGAAGATGATGGGCGGGGAGTGCGAATGGGAAAAAGAATTCTTCGTTCTCTTGCACTAGTTTTTGGTTGTGTTGCTCTGTCCTCTCTGGTATGAAATATTGCTCAACTTCTAATTCCATCTTCACTACCAGTTAGAACCTTGCTCCTTTTGGTCTTAAAAATTAGATGTTTCCTTTTTGATTATATGAGTTTCTTTCACATCTTCATTCTTGTCAGTCGAAACATCTTGCTCCTAGCTTCATTTTATCCTCTTTGTACCCTCATCAATAACATTTTGATTGAATTTCTCACAGGCATACACTGGTCTTTTGAATTTGATCGAGTATGTTGGCAGTTACATACCTGCTGTTCTTTACAACAACCAGGTAAGAATATTGAGCTGTGTCATAAATAATAGATTTATTTTATGAACTGACGTTCAACCTTAGACTTCATAGGCCTCATATTGCATTATGATTACACTTTTAAGTGGCATTATCCTACATCGGTTAATTATGGCATTACTTGTAGCCTTATTTTAAAGTTGTGCCCTTTCACATTTTGCTTAGATTATATGTTTAACAAATGTATGAATATGTTCTTTGCAACCTTTGGAAACTACAATTTCGATGTATCATTTATCGGTTGCAAGTCCAAGCTGAATCTTACATTAGAGATATACAAAATTAGCTTCTGTTCAGTCTGGTGGGCAGTCTTCTGCTTCAGCCTAGTGATGAGTTTTCGTGTGCAGGAACTCATAATCACGACAGCATCAGCAGTCACTCTGTACATTATGGGATCATACTATAGGTGATGAGTTTAGTTGGAGATCGAGGCACGCTTCAGCAGTTCATAGTTGAGGAGCTTGTTTCATTTCTGTTAATTTTAGCTCTCCAATTTTGGCAAACAAGATACAAATCTTACAAGGTTGAAAATTAAGAGGGAAACATAGGTTTTGATTCTAACATGAATGTCACTTACCTGTCGCTAGTTGTAGTTCTGTTTGGTCTTAAATCCTCCATATCCAGTGCCCGGAAAACATCAATTGCAAACTCTCTTCCCTTTGCTATTGTCTAATTATTTTTATTCCTTTTCCAGTTTAATTATATTGGCTTTTACTTACGCTTAGGATGGATTTTTCATTTTTTGTCCCAAGAAAAATTAAGATTTGGGGCCCGAATTAGATTTAACTTTTTAAAAAATCTTATAAAAATGACAAAATGTTAAACATAATAATATTATAGATGCTAATCTAGTACAAAATACTATAGGTATCATATGATATGTTCTAAAATTTACAAAAATTGATACGTGACTATTTTCTAATGTACTTATTGATAAGTATCAAAAATATATTCTTGGATATGTGGTATGTGATATGTATAGTACAATGCAATATAATATGTTTTTTATAAGTTTCATTTTACTTAATTATTAAAATTTTATTTATTTATTTATTGGGTTGAAATATAAAAATTATTCTGGGATTTCAACCTTCAAGTAAGAACAACAAAACAAATTTTCCTAATCCTGATTGTTAAAACTTATATAAAAATCTAAATTAATTACTAGGAACAACTTGAACTTATAATTTAAGGGTGACATGATTTAAACATAAAAAATTACAAAATTACTTAAACAGTAGTATTTGGACTGGAGTCATTATTTTATATATATATATAATAAAAATAATTATTTAAGGATGGGTCGGACTAAAATATGTCAAGCTAACTTGGACCAAAAATCGTTTCTAGCTTGGTTAGTTTACAATTTCAGTAGGCGGATGCCCATCTTAAATTACCCTCACTTAAATAATTTTTTTTCATTAAAGTTAAATTTTACTTAATATTTTAATGTTTGTCTATTCATTGAATCTATATTTAACAATCGTCAATTTTGTTATCAAATAACCCTTCGATTAAACTCATATTTAAAACAACTAGACTTTGATAATTTACTCTATTAAATCGTTAGGAGATGAGTTTGCTACTCACTTTAACTATTGAGTGCATTCAAATCTAAGAGACTTCAACTTGCACCAAAATTTGAAATTATTACGGATCCCGCATCTAATCTTGCTTATGATAATTTGGGATAATTTTTTTTTATTTAAACATTCATGATAATTTTCTTTTTTTTCTATCTATTCCATCAATTTTTTATTTTAACTTAAACTTTGTACATCTCAACTAAAACAAATACGAAACAATTTTCTATATAAATAAATTTGAAAAAAGAGTTTATGTTGAGCAAAATTTCTAAAATAAAAAAACAAAAAAATTATTTAAACAAGGAAAACAATAGTCTATAAGAAGAAAGCATGCCAAAATAAGAATTTAACTTCAATTCCGAGCTAATTTCACCATTAGAGCAAGAGATTTCATTGAAGTTCATATTTTCATCATCAATCTGACGCTGTTTATTGTTAAATTCATCTAAAATTAATGAATTAATTGTTAGTGAGAAAGAAAGAAAACAATGAAGGGTCACAAATAACAAAAAAAAGCTTTGCAGAGTTTAAAAATGCGTAAACAAAAAGTGAAAGTAATTAAGATTAACTAGTAATGTGAATAGATAAATAATAATATAATTAATTAAAAATTAGCTTAAATAAAAAATTATTTAAGTGAAGGTAATTTAGGAAATTATAATTATAAATTGTTAATGGGAGAGTGTTAATTATGAGTGCCAATAGCCCCACCTTAAACTTGATAATTTGTATATAATACGACAACACGATATGAACACGACATTGGTGTAAGCGAGTTTAGATTTAAACTAATCATATTTCATGTATTAATCGTGTCAATACTATTTCAAATTCGCTTAACACATCTAAAGCATAATATGTTAATTGTGTTATTGTGTATTCGTATAATCTAGAATTCGTTTGTTACTTAATTATTTAATAATTTTTATTTATTATGTAGAAATATTCAGTACATAGTTAAGAATCATTTATTGATTTATATAAATACTAACATTTTTATTGATATTAAATTTTATTATATTTTATATATATTATGATATTTATAATTTTTTATTATGAATTTAAATAATAAAATTATATTTTACTTGAATATATTTTAATTTAATTATTTTAATTGTGTATTTCATATATTAATCATAACAATCATATATATATATATATATATATATATATATATATATCACATATTAACACACGAATTGCCCGATCTATCACACCTTTGTCATGGATTGAGGGTCCTACATTAATTATACAAACTTGAAGGGGTCAAATCAAAATTTTATACAAATATGAATAAGATCCCCTTCCTCTTGCTTTGGCTCCCAGTTATAACCAATTTGCAATCAAGCAAAGAAAGAGAAAAGAAAATAAAACAAAAAGAAGAGGAAGCAGCAGCTAGGGTTTAAAGAGCTTAAAGCCCAGAGCTTTTCAATCGAAAAGTTTTTAGTCTAATTTTTTGTTTATTTTCGATTAAATCCTTTAACTCAGAGCAAGTAAAAGAAAGGTGAGCGAAGATGAGGATTATGATAAAAGGAGGAGTATGGAAGAACACGGAGGATGAGATATTGAAAGCGGCGGTTATGAAATATGGGAAGAATCAATGGGCTCGAATTTCTTCTTTGCTTGTTCGTAAATCTGCTAAGCAATGTAAGGCTCGGTGGTATGAGTGGCTCGACCCTTCTATCAAAAAGGTAAATTTCTTTCTTTTTTTCTTTTAGTTATGTTTAGCTTTATTAATATGGGATTCTTTCAAAATTGAGTGTTGTTTTGAATTTTCTTTGCATAATATTGGTCAGATTAGTTGGGTTAAGGGTTGGGTTTCTTCTTAAAATATTAAATCAGTTTTGGATATTGAAGGTTTTCAGTGTTTTGATTTTGAAAGTTGGGTTCTTGCTTAAATTAGTATTTTCTTTGTTCGAGTAGTTAAGCTTAATTAGCGTTTAAGTAGTTAAGCGTAATTAACAGTGTTTATTACTTGATTTCTTTTTGGTGGAGAGAACTAGTAGTAAAAGATACAAAGAAAAATTTGAATGGTGAAAGCCAAAAGAGTTTTTGACTAAAGATAAGCAAATAGTTATAAAATGTAGCACACAATCGAATATAAATAAAAACCATGCATTTGGTTATTTAAAAAAATTTTAATCTTAATTATTTAGAAATTTTACTATTTGTAGTTTTTTGCTTCTGATTTCTGAAAGCATAAAAGCATGGCAAATGTAACAAGAGTTGAAGATTTGGGAATTGAATCTTTTGGTATTCAAATTGCAAGTTGGATTCTTGCTTAAACATATAATCGGTATTATCATTTTTCTTTGTGGCTGATCACTATGGTTAATTTAAGTGTTATTACTTGATTCCTTGGGGTGAAAAAAACTATTAGCAGAAGAAGACACAATCAAATTGTTTGTATTGTTCTTTCCATTCATTCTGACCAAAAAGAACTAGTAGTAAAAGATACAAAGAAAAATTTGAATGGTGAAAGCCAAAAGAGTTTTTGACTAAAGATAAGCAAATAGTTATAAAATGTAGCACACAATCGAATATAAATAAAAACCATGCATTTGGTTATTTAAAAAATTTTTATCTTAATTATTTAGAAATTTTACTATTTGTAGTTTTTTGCTTCTGATTTCTGAAAGCATAAAAACATGGCAAATGTAACAAGAGTTGAAGATTTGGGAATTGAATCTTTTGGTATTCAAATTGCAAGTTGGATTCTTGCTTAAACATATAATCGGTATTATCATTTTTCTTTGTGGCTGATCACTATGGTTAATTTAAGTGTTATTACTTGATTCCTTGGGGTGAAAAAAACTATTAGTAGAAGAAGACACAATCAAATTGTTTCTATTGTTCTTTCCATTCATTCTGAAAGAAATAAGAATTTGGAAATTGATCATTTTGGTTTTTGTGATATATGCAGACTGAGTGGACAAGAGAGGAGGATGAGAAACTGCTTCATCTTGCAAAGCTCATGCCAACACAATGGAGAACGATTGCACCAATTGTTGGTCGGACTCCGTCTCAGTGTCTTGAGCGGTATGAGAAACTCCTTGATGCAGCTTGTGCTAGGGATGAAAATTATGAACCAGGTGTGACCCAAGGAAATTGCGTCCTGGAGAGATTGACCCGAACCCTGAATCAAAGCCTGCGCGTCCTGATCCTGTTGATATGGACGAGGATGAGAAGGAAATGCTTTCTGAAGCTCGAGCTCGGTTAGCTAATACTCGGGGCAAGAAGGCGAAGAGGAAAGCGAGGGAGAAACAGCTTGAAGAAGCGAGGAGGCTTGCTTCTTTGCAGAAAAGGAGGGAGTTAAGGCTGCTGGAATTGATACAAGGCAACGGAAGAGGAAAAGGAAGGGAATAGATTATAATGCAGAGATTCCTTTTGAGAAGAGGCCTCCTCCAGGCTTTTATGATGTTGCTGATGAAGATAGACCTGTGGAACAGCCTAAGTTTCCAACCACCATCGAAGAACTTGAGGGAAAAAGAAGAGTTGATATAGAAGCACAGCTAAGAAAGCAGGATATTGCAAAAAATAAAATTGCACAGAGGCAGGATGCCCCATCAGCTATATTGCAGGCCAACAAGCTGAATGACCCAGAAACTGTGAGGAAAAGATCAAAACTTATGCTTCCGGCACCTCAGATTTCTGACCATGAATTGGAGGAGATTGCAAAGATGGGATATGCCAGTGATCTTCTTGCAGGGAATGAAGAACTGGCTGAAGGGAGTGGTGCAACTCGTGCTCTTCTTGCAAATTATTCCCAGACACCACGGCAAGGAATGACACCTTTACGGACCCCACAAAGAACACCTGCTGGAAAAGGTGATGCTATCATGATGGAAGCTGAAAATCTGGCTAGGTTGAGGGAGTCACAGACACCCTTACTTGGTGGAGAAAATCCAGAGTTGCACCCTTCAGATTTCTCAGGGGTCACTCCTAAAAAATGGGAGAACCAAACACCAAATCCAATGTCGACTCCTTCAATGACTCCTGGAGGTGCAGGACTTACTCCTAGAATTGGAATGACACCATCAAGGGATGGCTATGCTTTTGGTGTGACCCCTAAAGGAACTCCCATCAGGGATGAGCTCCACATAAACGAAGATATGGATCTGAATGACAGTGCCAAACTTGAGCAAAGGAGACAACCTGATCTAAGAAGGAACTTGAGATCTGGACTTGGTACTCTTCCACAGCCAAAGAATGAGTACCAAATAGTCATCCAACCACCGTCAGAAGAAAATGAAGAACCAGAAGAGAAGATTGAAGAAGACATGTCTGATAGGATAGCTAGAGAAAGGGCTGAGGAAGAAGCACGGCTGCAGGCTTTGCTTAAGAAGAGATCAAAAGTGTTGCAAAGGGAGCTTCCGAGACCTCCTAGTGCTTCCCTTGAACTGATTAGAGATTCTTTATTGAGGACTGATGGAGACAAAAGTTCCTTTGTTCCTCCAACCTCAATTGAGCAGGCTGATGAAATGATAAGAAAGGAGCTTCTGTCCTTGCTGGAGCACGACAATGCTAAGTATCCACTTGATGAAAAGGCAAATAAGGGGAAGAAGAAAGCTACCAAGCGTTCTGCAAATGGATCTATTCCTAGTATAGAAGATTTCGAAGAAGATGAAATGAAAGAGGTATGTCTTGCTTTTCGCTGGTTATGTTGCCTTTATTTCCTTTTTTCATATGCAGTTAATGTTTTAGAACCTTGGTGAATTCATGGGACATTAGCATTATACTCTGCTGTTGCTTGTTAATGTAAAAATTATTGATTTTGGTTCTTGCTATAGAATTGAGTTGAGTTGTGTGATGAACAATGAACAATGCCTATCACAGATTTTTTTTTAATTAATGTTTGATTGGACTTAAGGAACACATCAAACCACCTAAAATCTCATATGAGCAGTTGAAAAGCAATTTTCATTTGCTTCCACCTTATAAATGTTTTGGCGTCTAAAATTTTGCTGAATGTCGCAATCTACATATGTCTTACTTGTTCCAGAGCACGTAAGGTCTTGTACTCTATATTCAAACTGCTGAACACCAACAACTACTCAATTTTCAGATTCAGGTCCCTGTCAGCTAGAACCTGAGATTATTGTTATTGTTATCACTATTGGTCTTTATGCTTGACTTTTGTAATATTATAGATGAACCTTTTTGCAAACTGAGAAATGACTGGATTTTTCTTGGCAGGCTGATTCATTGATAAAGGAAGAGGCTGAATTTCTTCGTGTGGCAATGGGGCACGAAAATGAATACCTTGATGATTTTGTGGAAGCACATAATACTTGCCTAAACGATCTCATGTACTTCCCTACTCGTAATGCTTATGGTCTATCAAGTGTTGCTGGAAACATGGAGAAACTTGCTGCCCTGCAGACTGAATTTGACAATGTGAAAAAGAAGCTGGATAATGATAAGTCGAAGGCAGAAAGCATGGAGAAGAAGTTCAGTGTTCTCACACAGGGTTATGAGGTACATCACTGAATATATTCTAATCATTGTCTTAAATAATTTGTTTCTACTACCATTATTTTAATTTTAATTGCAACTTGTCACTTGCAAGTTATAATCTCTATCCTGCAGTTTCTGTTATTAGATTTCTTTGAGAATTTTGGTAGTGCTTAATAGCATTTATTGAAGACATTATACTGCATGTCCTCTTTAAATGTGTTTGAATCCAGTAAATGTTGATGCCTTGAGATCCTTTGTGGAAGTAGGGCTGTGGAACCATATATTTGTTGGATTGAAGTAGTATGGGATTGGGATTGAACAATTAGCATGGGAAAAAGTACTTGTATAAAGAAAAGGGTTTAATGTGTCTGAGCAAAAGGTTGTTTTAAAACTTCTTCCCTATTATTAATTGTTTCAGGTTGATTTTATGATTTTCTGGAGAGGCTTATACTGTATCTTCTTTTAGTGTGTTTTTTTTATTCCATAGTTTCTACAATCTAGTGACTTTTGATGTGGTATAGAAAACCTCTAAAAGTCTCAGGTGGATTTCTGATATTTAACCTTATTTATGATTGAAACCTTTTCAGTAGTGTATTTGGTCAGAATGTAGGTCATCGTTCTTGTGAGTTCTAATGCAGAACTGAGAAACAAATTGTTTTTTTTTTTTTTGAAATTTCATTTGTATTGATAGAAAGGGAGAAACTGAGTTAACAAACCGTTTATTAGTGATTTCTAACTATATATATGTTAAATGGAAATGGGAGTTGCTCCTATCAAGCTTCTAGAAAATGAATTAATGAACTAACTATTTTTTGTTCTAAATGTAATATGTAGTTAAAGAATAATTCGTTAAATTATGATATTCTTTGAGATATGTAATCTATATTGGAAATATTCATGCTTTTCATTATGGAACCCTTTTTTTTATTTTGAACGGTATCATTATGGAACTTGTTTGAAATTTTAATTCGTTTTGTACTAAATAATTGACAATTTCAATGACCAGAGACGGGCTGCAACTCTTTGGCGTCAGATTGAGTCAACCTTTAAGCAGATGGATACTGCAGGAACAGAACTAGAGTGTTTTCAAGCATTACAAAAGCAGGAGCAGTTAGCAGCATCACACAGAATAAATGGTCTCTGGGAGGAAGTTCAGAAGCAGAAGGAGCTAGAACAAACCTTGCAAAGACGCTACGGGAATCTCGCAGCTGAGTTAGAAAGGATACAAATCCTCATGAATGTATACAGAGTACAAGCACAAAAACAAGAAGAGGCTGCTGGAAAGGATCATGCTTTTGAGTTGTCTGAGGCTGCCGTTGCTGCAAATCCAGCTGTTGTGCCAAGCACAGGACTTTCAGAGCCTGTACCTTCCTCGGAGCATGTTGACTTGTCTCTTGATGAGCAGTCAAGCCTGAAAGCTGTTATGAATGTTGATTCAGGAAAAGAGCATGCTACTATAGATGTAGAGACAGATGGAAGCATGTCTGTTAATGTGCCTTTAGTTGTGGAAGACAAAGAAGATAATATCAGTAAGACACTTGATGGGATGACTGGGGATATTGTAACAAGTTCTGAGGTTGCTGCTGAATCTATAAATCCTGATGCAGTCTCTACCAAACAGGATAGCATACAAGAAACGCTTGAAGGTGAAGGTGTTGCTGACCACACCAAGGTTGACAATTCTTCTGTCTTGGGTGGAGATACTGCTGAAAAACAAACTGGAATGGAAGAATAGCAGTTTTAGCTCTGAACAAGTGATGAGTTTTATTTGACTATGAGAGACTAAATCATGAAATTCTTCCTCATTCAACAAGTAGTATTCAGGGTTTGATGGATCCATATCTGCTTCTGTACTTTCATGAGGGATAAAAATTCCATGGATGCTAGCTATGTTGGAGCAGAGCTTTTTGTTGTAATGTTTGCATCCCTGTATTTTCAAGTGCCAGATAATTTTTATTGCTTCTCTTGTAAGAGACCTAGAAAAGAAATACCGGTAATGTTCAACATGTGATTATTATTAGATTGAGGAACTGTTTTAGTATTTCTTTTTGACCCAATGATCTTCACCCTTCTTTTATTTTTGATCATCTGTTCATTGGAGGTCCAGGAGGTCCAGGGCTTAAACATGAAGGACCTCTCCATGGTAGCTTTGACACAAATCTCTTTCCTTAGAGGGACTTGCCTCACCTGCATGTTACGAAAACCAGTTATCTGTTTTCACAAGAGGCAATGAAGTTGTGGCTAGATGGTTGTTTGTATCCCCAATAATTTGTGAGGATCCCTCTTCTTTCACCAATGTAGAGGTTGTAAGCAAAGTTGAAGCATTTTCCTCTTGCCCAGATTATCCCCCTGAGGGTTTGAACCAGCTTTCTGAGTGACAAGGGTCATCCCAAATGTAAAAGAAAGTGTTGTATCTGATTTAGCAATCTACATTATACTTTATTATTCTAGTTAGCAAATTGTTTAATTGTTTTCTGAGAACAGATTAGAAAGCAGTCAAAGCCAGTTCTATCCAATTGAGTCGTCATCTGGTTATGGCCACATAAGGGAGGAGTCAGATTTCACTACTTCATCAAAAAGAAAGTATTATTGTTTTGATTCGCTATGGCCAAACTTCGTCAGCATCCACCTAAGTTCCAATTTCCAAGCAGCCTTATTCAAGACAACAATCCCACCCAAAAAACTACAAGCCAAAACGAACACTTCTTGTTGGATAAGCTTTGACTGCTTGAGCTAACCTTTTTAGCCCCATAAATAACCATCCCTTTCCCCCCCTTTTCCATCCATGTATCTCTTCCCAATCTGCATGAACATTTTCTCCTCCTCTTAGTCTCAAGCAGGTAAGATGTCAACTATAATTGCACAAGAACCTCATTACTTTTCTCAAGACTGTTATTTCTATGCTGTAAATGCTTGAAGTTATCATGCATGTTCTTACCATTCAAACATTGAAAATGGTTATGGTTGGCTTAGTTGACTGAATTACTTGGCATAATGTCCTACCTTCATTAAGTTTTCAAGTTGTGACAAACATTTTAATTTATTACTATTAGCCGCCTTAGGGGTTTTATTTTTTTAGTAGGTGCATGATGTCACACTTTAATGTGATACATGCAAAACATAGCAAATCATAAAAGAGAAGATTTTGACAAATTAATCAATTCCATCCTAACAACAATACACACTTTTTACTGCCATATTGCTCAATCTCCTCATTTTAATTGGGGTAGCAAAAGTATGGAGTATGGTTGTCATCCTTTGATATATTTATTATTATTTTAGTTTGTATGGAGTTTCTCTGATGCATGTGTACAAACTGATTGAACCAGGCCTATCTTTGTCCCCCGTGTGGGGTTGTTTTCCCAATGTGAAGTTGATTTTTCATTGGTTACAATCAAACAGAAGCTCGTGGATGCCTAACATTAATAGATTCCTCAAAATTTTATTCAAAGAATCTAGCCCCTAATCAAAAGTTACGTGAAGTAACCATCAAGAAAAGAAGAAGTCAACCAGAGGTCGTCAAGGCCGTGCAAATCCCAGCAAAATGGGAAAAAGCCAAAAGGAAATTTTCTTCTTGATGATAGTAATAAGAGAGCTTCCCCTTTTCCAATTGCCAGCACCGTCCCAACGCAAGGTTCTATCGTTAAAGCTAAAAGATAAAGACAAAAGCTGGATTGGCCCACTCATAGTTGTGGATTCTTTCAGGACAACCAAACATCAAAAGGAAGAATCAAACATCATAACCTCCCATGTTTTTCCTTTTTCTTTTTCAACAAATATAGAAATCATTAAAAGAAAAAAATAATGGGATTTGAATACTAATTCAATAGGTTTAGTTTCTTGGGGTGCTAGCCACTTGTACAAGTTCATGTTTCTCTTGTGAATCTTTCAACTCCTTTCCTAAGGTTTTGCATGACTAGTGTAGCTCAATCAGTGCAATACCACAGTAGGTAAGTTTAGGCGTGTTCATACTCTTAAATACATGCATCCATACAGATAAAAGTCTTGAAATATAATGAGAAAAAACAAATCTAGGAACTTCCAAAGTTGGGTTTGGTTGGATTCATGCATACAGATAAAAGTCTTGAAATTTAATGAGAAAAAATAAATCTAGGAACTTCCAAAGTTGGGTTTGGTTGGATTTTTTAAATTGTTGTTCAGCCCTTTTTCAGTCATCTTATTTTATTGATAACTTAGAAGTATAAAACTGTCTGAACTTTGGGAAGATTAAGGTATTAAAATTATTGTATTAATATGTCATGTCAAGTTGGTTTATTGCATTTAATTTTGTTGTTTAAATCAATTTGTTTGAGTTTCGCTATAAAAGGTGAGTGTTTGCGGGGTTATAATCCCAAGTTCTTGAAATTGTTTTCATTGGTAATTTTTTCCTCTCCTTTGCATGTAGTATGTTTATTGTATTTCTTTGTTGTTTGTTAAATGTTCTAATGATTTTTGCATTTTTGAAGAGATTAAGGAACTACTCCATTGTTTCTGCAAAGGAAGTTTGCTGAAATCTAGTTGGAGAATTTTCAGTTTTCTGGGAAAGCAAGAGAGAAAATTTTGGAGTGCTTTGTTCTGGGTTCTTAGGCAAAGAAGAAAAAGAGCTTGAACAGGTAAAATAAGGACATATCTCATCTCTCTGTCTCTCTCTATATGCGTGAAGATAGGAAAGTGAGCGCACGTGCATGTTCTTTAATGGGTTTTAAGATTTTCTGAATTTTTTTTAATGGATGGGTTTCTTGAGTTTCCTTGAGACTAGTTCAAGATGTTGTTGGCATGGTACAAAGTTCCCTGTTTAATGGTTATGGCAGGGAAATCACTCATCCTGAACCCCTTGCTGGTTTCTTTGACCAGAACAAATGAACAACTCTAGAAAAACAACAACTAGGACAAATTTACTCTTCAATTGAGGGTCATCTTGGGTCCTCCATGAGAAAAAAGAAGTATTTTGGCTGTATTCCTGTGAAATCTAATTGGTCTCACATGTTATTTGAGAATAGTTGCATAAAATAAATATTGTAAGGATCAATTTGCTTTGTTTTATTGATTTGGGGTAATGAGTACTAGATTGTTTTGAACTGCCTTATTTCTTTTGGAGGGTATGGACTAATTTTCTTCTGGGATTAATTTCAGCAAAAATGGTGACCAGAATGGTGGATCTTCGATCTGATACAGTCACAAAACCAACTGAAGCAATGAGGGCTGCTATGGCAACTGCTGAAGTTGATGATGATGTTTTGGGTGCTGACCCGACTGCCTTTCGGTTAGAATCAGAGGTGGCAAACATCATGGGCAAGGAAGCTGGTTTATTTGTCCCATCAGGCACTATGGGTAACCTCATCAGTGTTCTTGTTCATTGTGATATAAGGGGAAGTGAAGTCATTCTTGGAGACAATTCGCATATCCATATTTATGAGAATGGTGGGATTTCAACAATTGGAGGTGTACATCCAAGGCCAGTGAAGAATAATGAAGATGGAACAATGGACATCAATTCGATTGAAGCCGCCATTAGAGACCCAAGAGGAGAGCTAGTGTACCCAACTACAAGGCTGATTTGCTTGGAAAATTCGCATGCGAAGTAAGAGTTACTCTTTCTTATGATACTCTTTTGACTTCTGTTGGACAAATATCACATGCACTTAAATAATTTGATTTTTCTATGTTTTCTATAGCTATACCTCCACCTTGTGTTTCACAATTTTATATTGAATAGGGCAGAACTGGGTCTGGCTTTTAATTATGTGCTTCACGCCTCCTCTTAGAATTTTCTCATTGCTGCTCCCACTTGCGTTCAGGGGCTGAAATATCCCTTTTAGGATATGAGTATTTAAGGGAACTCATCAGTGCTATAAATTTCTTGAAACCCCTACCCTCTTATTGGAGGGACCGCAACCAACAATTTGCTTATATAAGGGAAGTTGCTTCCTTTATGTTTCTTAACTTTTCTCCTTATCCATGTTTTGTCTGGGTAGGCTGAGCTTTGACAAAGGAGTATCCTGGGTGCAAGTTGGGACTGTTTCTACAGATATTATATTAGTATATTCTTCCCTCAGTTTAAGTCCATGTTAGTTGTTCTGCAAAATTGACAATTTCATAATATTTATAAAAAGACTTTTACTGAAGGTGAAGACTTGGCCTCCATTTTGATTTTAAAAGGATAAAAGAAAGTTGGTATGACAACTAAATAGAAGGCAACATTATTGTATTCCTTCTGTTAATTAACATCACTGTATATCAACTGCTTTTGCATTGGCACTACATTGAAGTATGGGTCATATATGTAATATATGCGATAAATTTTGTAAGTGATAATAACAACATGATTTATGGTTTACTTTTTTCTCAATGCTCTGGATTTTGCCTAATTAGTTGTATCTTAAGAAACTGATGTCAGTTGAAGTTCTTAAATGATTTGTTTCTCCCTTTCCAATTACTTCACTTTCACTTTATCCCTTGTTGGCTGTAATGTCTTATAATAGTTTTCGTTTACTCGATGCAGCTCTGGTGGTAGATGCTTGTCTGTGGCATACACAGACAGAGTTGGTGAGCTAGCCACAAAGCATGGTCTGAAGCTTCACATTGATGGGGCTCGCATTTTCAATGCATCCGTAGTGAGTAAAACATTCGTAAATTTCTTCAGATTCCTGCTTGCATTTGTATGGTTTGAAGGCCTATCATCAATATGAAGCTTCATATAAGGAACTTTATTCCTCTTGCACTGAATTTTGTGTTTAAAGTTCAAATTTTGAGGAAAACTTCTAATCAAGAAATTAAAACAGCTTATATGCCTAAACTGTATTCTTCTTTACCAATATGTTAAAGAATACTTGCCTTCTGTCTGTGTGTCTGTGTAATAAATCTATATGTGGCAACTATCCTCTGTCCAAGCATCTAACTAAAGTGTTGGTCTGCCAGGCACTTGGAGTTCCTGTTCACAGGCTTGTACGAGCTGCTGATTCAGTCTCGGTATGCTTCTTGTGTCAACATTATTGGTTATTTCAGCTCCTGCATCTTTTCATGTTTTCTTATTAGCTTATTAGTTATTTCAACCTTCGAGTGTTAACCCATACTTCATGTTAATTTATAGCTTTTTGTTTTGCCAAATTTACAACGTTATTCTGAAAAATTATTTAATCTACAGATGATGGATTTTGACATTTTATCTCATCTGGTATCCAGTGTGTTATAGTAAGAGACCTTTTTCTATTTCCATTGATTTTGTGGTAGGTATGTCTATCAAAAGGTCTGGGTGCTCCAGTTGGATCGGTCATTGTTGGTTCCAAAAGCTTTATCACCAAGGTAAAAGCAAAAGTTTTTCAGCTAAAAATCTCTGCAAACTACACAATTTATACTCAAACTCCATTTTCTGATTTTTAAGGCTAGAAGACTTCGGAAAACCTTAGGTGGTGGGATGAGGCAGGTTGGTTTTATTTGTGCTGCTGCTTTTGTTGCTTTGCAAGAGAATGTTGGAAAGCTTGAGGGTGATCATAAGAAGGCGAAGGTGTTAGCAGGTAAACTATCGGTTTACTTAATTGAATTTGCCAAACTTTTTGGTTTGGAAGAACAGTCATTACTTTTCTCTGGTGCTTTCTGTCCTTGATCTTACCTGTAATATTCATGGACTTTATTCTGATTTTCTATGGTTTCAGAGGGGTTAAATCAAATTAAAGGTCTTAGAGTGGATGTAGCTGCTGTGCAAACCAATATCGTGAGTATGCTAATTACTAAACTTACATGAATGACAATCTATTCTTTTGCTATGCACTCTGGATTGGAAGGTTTGTGGTTGGAGTTGTGATTCAATCTATTGAAGAGTAATAGAAGTGACTAGCCAGTGTTTGCCAAGAAAAAACGAATATCAAATGTAAAATAATAATAATAACAAAAATTCCTCAAATAAAAGTTGCATCAGAATACTGCAGGACATTACTTGCCAACTGGTACAAACAAAAATGCTTTTCAATGCTTACCATGCTTAGATTCTTATTACCTTATGTCACCAGATATATTTTGACATAGTGGAGGGATCAAAACTCACAGCAGAGAAACTATACAAGAACTTGGAGGAACATGGTGTACTTGTGATGCCAGAGGGCCCAGCCAGGTCAGTATACTCCCTCAAAGATCTCCCAGGATTCTGGAAAACTTATCTGTATATATTCTTCTTGCTTTTGATTCCTGAGATATTAATTAAACTTGAATGTATTACTCGAAACGAAGTAACATATCTGAAATTTCCCCCCATCAAAAGGTACCAAATGTACTTATTTCTTGTAACATACTGGTGAACGTTCAGGGAGTACATAAGAATTACAGGATGTACAGATATTCATACCGCAAACAATTAATTCAATTCAACTAGCTAAAACAGAAAGTATCAAATCTAGATATTAGCTGCGTTTTACCTTATTGAAATTCGAAAGTACTATCAGAGCTAGTATTCAATCTTAAGAGTAAAATAAGGCTTCCAAGACTAGCCTTTCCTGCGAGTTTTAAGGGTAGATAGTTGGCTAATGCTGGTCTTTTTGTTCATTCAGGATGAGAATTGTCCTCCACCACCAAATTTCATCAAGTGATGTGCAGTACACTTTGTCATGCTTTCAGGTTCTCAAAACATCATTCTCGCCTCCTGTCCCATTGATGATTTTTCCATTATCTTATTGTTTACGTATTCTTCCTTCTTTTAACTATTGCAGCAAGCTTTAACTGGAGTGCACGAAGAAAATGCAAACTAAGTGGGAAACTGCCAAACCCTCTTACTCGAATATCATTTCCCGATGTTTCATTGGAACCTCTTGAACTCAGGAACATGATCAGAGATTATCATAACATCTTTGAACTCTGCTAGATGCCATAATTATGTACATGCATTTGTATTAAGCTTTAGATTCCATCATCATTGTCTCTTCACCTTGGTAAACCAGACCACCAAGGACAATGCCATAATAATAAAGCCTAGTGTTCTTATATTTGGTGAACATTTCTTCAAACTTTACATGAAAGAATTGGCAAATGAACCAAGTACAGATGTAAGGATTTAGGGACCATGGGGGAGGTTGGCCCCCTCTCGGGCTCTCACCAAGAATATTTCTTGTGCGTGGCCTTAGACATAAAAGCCCCATTAAACATGACTTGACATTGGGCCTGGCTTACCTGTGAATATCATCAATTGATTTACTTCACCTCAAGCTGATTATTAATAGATTGTACTAGTCTACAGTGATTGGAGTATAGGTGCGTGATTGAAGATTCTGAGACGTGCATGTAAGATGAACAAGCGTGTAAATGTAATGGAGTGACAATGACTTAGGAATGCCATAAGGCTATGAATTTGTGCTTTACCTTTGTGCACAACTAAGCAAGACAAACTTAACCTTCAAGCTTTTAAATTTTTGACCATACCAAGATAAAAAGAGAGAGAGAGAGAGAGAGAGAGAGAATATTTGTGTTGAGTCTAAGTAGTTTGCAATATGACAAACTTAAACTTGAAGATTTCAACCATGAAAGGGTTTTTTTTTTTTTTTTTGCAGGTGGAGTCACTGCCCCATGAAAGCCTACGGATTGCTATGAAGGTTCCTAATTTTTGTTGCTTTTCATTGTTTACCAATTAAAATGCTTACTTGTTTATTTGCCAATGATAGCAAAATTTAATCACTTTCTGAGCGTTTGTAGCTTCCAAAATTGACCATCTTTCATGAGTTTTAATGACCAAAAAAGAAAAAAAAAATATCGGGTTTTAAGTGTAATTCTCATCGTAAGTGATAATGATTTAACTTTATTTTCACTGATTAATTTATTTATTTATTAGATGTAATTACAATAATCAAATTCATAAGAAATATGAGAAGTAAAAGGAGCCTCCTCTGGTTGATACCATTAATCTGTTTAAATAGGACTTTGATTTTAAAAATAAAAGTAAAATTTTAAAAATTTTTCACAATTAAAAATAACGTTTCAAATTTCTTCATGTACCAAAAACACTTTCTCACAATTAAAATCATAAAGAGATTATACAAATGGGCCATTAACCATAAAACTCGTTCTATTCATTTTTTCAAATTAAGATATAAACAAAATTAAGTCGTGTCGGATGACCATTGCCTCGACGATAAAGAAGAGATTTTGAAACTTATCGAATTTTAGATTTTAAATCTCATCATATGTAGGTTTTCGTGTAATTTTATATTTTTTTGAATGTGATAATTATTTTGTATATATTTAATAACATTTAATATTAATCGGTCTTACCAACTAAAATACTTAAAAAGTTTATTGGAATTAAATAAATCGATATAAGAGTATTAGCTTATACATAAAAACTATGAATTCTACTGAATAATTCGTCAATAATAGATAAAGGTCATTACTCAAACTTTAAAACCAATTAATTCTTGAGTAGTAAATTTTTTTATATTAAAAATTTCAAATCCATTTATTTACTTTATAAATTGAATTAGATACTGGTAAAAAGTAATACCCATTGTGGTCTGGCATATGTCGTTCAGCTTTGTTGAAAAACAAAAATCTATTTAAAAAAATAAAAAGAAAGAAAGGGAAATGAAGGACATGTCATTCAGCCATTGTAGCCTAAAATGTCGAGTCATTCATATGATCAAAACACAAAACGACAATCATCTAAGGTTAAAATAGACAGGGCGAGATGCCTTCTACTTTCTCATAAATCAAACCAAGTGATTGACATTTTTTTTATTATATATATATACATGTATTAATGATTAAAATAAAATTATATATGTTGAAATTAAACAAAGATTTCATTTTTATTATTATTATTATTAGTGATGAAATATCTCCATCTATTGAGATGCTGTTTCATTTTTTTTTCTGATTGGTTCAATTACAGACTTTTTTCGATTATGTCATGCCAAGTGGATCATGTAAATGAACAAAACAGTTAAATAAAGAATATATGAAAGTAAAGATACTTAAATCAATGTAATTGACAAAAAATACTAAAGAAAACAAAGATGATATCCAAATTTCAACCTGAACATAATGTAAAGTATAGTTGTCTCCTCTTGTCAACAAAGAAAATCGCAAAAATAAGTGTGAAACCTACTTTAGATCCTTTCTCCACCCCCATGTAACAAGTTGTTTATTAGATTAATGAGGAGAAAAAGAAAAGACTGTCACATCAAATGAGATAAGCAGACAAGATATTATAAGGCTGGATTAGTAGCATTTCTTCTGTATGCATGAAAGTGTACCCTAAAAATGGAACAACAAAACCCCAAAGAAACAGTGGGAGTTTGCATGTGTGAGGGTAAAATTTGGGTTTGCTTCCTTTCCTGGTACAAGCTAATTGGAAAGCAACCTGCCCTACCTTTGCTGCCTATTTACCCCCTACTCTCCTTGGTTCCAACAGCTATGGAGAGTCCATCTTTTCTTTCTTTTTTATGTGTTCATTGACAGTCATCAGCATGCATGTGCTGCCCTAATTGTAGGCTTGAGATTCCAAATGCAGGAGCTGTGTTCCTTACTCTAAGTGGGAAGAACTCTATTTTCTATTTCTAAACAATCCTGGCTTATGACAATCATGGCTCCTTTGGCTTACTCCAAATAAGATATTCTAGTTTAGAAAATCCCAATATCTGTAACCAATATCCATTATCAAAATTTTAGGAGCAAGAGGAAAGAGGGTAAAGCAGAAAAGAGAGTGTGAAAAGATTGTTGTTTCTCCCTCTCTATTCCCTAGATGCTCTTTTACCAAAGGATATGGTGAAATGGTCTTTTCCTCTTTCTTTTTTTTTTTTTTGCATTTTTGTGATTCTTAACAACTTTTAAAAATAAAAATGATCACATGTTTAGTTAATAATTAAAATATATTTTAAATAGACTTATATTAACTTTTTAAACTAATTTGTGAAATTAATAAATTTCACCATCACTATTTTAATAAACAATTTTAAAAATAATACTAGTAGCATGCATCATATAATAACTCTTTCATAATCTACTTAAACCGTTTTTTTTAATTTTTAGTTTAAACTAAAATTATCATGTTAATGCTTTTTTCTCAAATTGGTCAAAAAGAGCTCATTTGAATGGAATAAATATTGTTGTATATAGATTCAAAGTATTTATAATTGATGTGTCGTACAACCTAATATTAATAAAGAACCAATGTTAGATCTAAAAAAATTTTATAATATGTAAAATTGTTTTATCAATAACTCAAAGCTATATATATATATACTGTTGATATTATTATTGTTACCAATTTCATCTAGAAATTTGACTTTTGGTTAAACACATGGGTATATCTTAATGTTTATTTCATTTCAGAATTTGAGTTAGTGGTTGGTTGATGTTTATCCACATTCATCCCATCGTCTCTCTTTCTCCTCTCAATTTTTATATATATATATATATGAGCTGTTTTCAAAGTACTTTCTATTCCTGTATTGATTAGATGGATTTGAGCATAAAGTTTGGGTGATTTTACATATATTAGAGCTTCAAAATTGATATGAGCCTTGGCTTTGATTGGTCATTTTGTTTAATTTATAGGTAATTTTAGGTAGCATTTTGGGTGGTTTATCCTTTTTTTCTTTTTTAATAAATTTTGGTGGTGGTTGTGAGCTGTGGGTTTGTGGGTTTGGCTTGATTTTTGTTAGTGACAAAGAAGATTATGTGGACTACAATTGTATGGTACCAAATCCATCGGTTTGATGATAAATTTTATGTGTGGATAATTGCAAGGATTGATCTTGTATTTAAGTTGGAAAAATGGGTAATTTATAAACTATACGTATAGTCTTACAATAAGTTATTTACAAAGGGAGAAACCCTAAAAGTAGCGTGACTTTGGGAAGTGGTAGAAGGCATCTCTAGAGATGTAGAGTAGTGATAATGATCCCCTTTAACACCAAAAAGTGATTCTTGTATAGCTGAATCAAGGCTTCTAGGCTACTGCACATACGAATAGTTGAATCAAATTAGCTTTTCCTTAGCAATGTTGCTCACGTTCTTGGCTGATCCTTGACTCATCTTTACGTCTTTGCATGGTAAAAGTGAAAAGTCTCTAAACTTTTTCTTCTACTAAACATTGTTTCAACATAGTATTGAAAGAGTGTAAAACTGTACATTTTGCTTTGCTTCCCCTTCCACCTCTCACCCCTTTTCCCCCCTCATTTTTGCTATATCTTCCTATTCAAAATTTTAATTTCTTTATTATTAAAATACCTCTTAAATATAATAAATTTCATTTATATATTCAATTATTTTATCTTTTTGAATGTTACGTATTATTTGATATATTTATCTCTTTAAATATCACGCTTTATCGTTTTATGAAATCGAATTGATGATGAATGAAAATAATAGAAGAAAAAAGTGGGTACAATTTAAAAATTTTCAATAATGAAATGGCTTTATAATTTGTACTCCATTATTGGCAATTATCAATTTTTTTCTTTATTAGGTGTAAATGGGGAAATAGTCTCATGTTAAATGCTATTGAAATAGTGTCATTTGGCCAATTACCATAAAGAACCAACACAATTGCCGGTTTCTGACAAATTACCTCTTATTGTACATAAAAACAACCAATTACAACGACTCATAAAGAAGTGTGAGATTCACCATGGACATGTACAATCAAAATGGGTGAAAATATGGGTTTATGAACTTACCTATGAAAGATCAAAGTCATACCCCCAACAAAGATACAAGATCTAAAGATTATAATTCCTTTGACAACAACATGAGATTGTACTTTGGGTTTGGGTCATGAGATATAGTGTGCGGAAGGCATTGCTTTTGCCCCCCCTTTTCCACCACGAAAACTTGCCCTTATGAAAAATGGAGAGAGACCCCTCAAACCCATCTC